TGAGTCACTTGTCATGAGGCTGTTCTAGCAGGGACAGAGGGTCAGAGGTGCTGTGCCATGCAGGGACAGGATATGTGGTTTCAACCATTCTTGCAGTCATTCAATAAATATTGAACAGAACACTCTGTACATGCAAGGCACTGTTCTCAGCACATTGAAGAAGACAGAGGTCACTGCCCTCATAGAGCTTGTATTCTAATGGGGGAGGCCTTCTGCAATTAAATAAACCATACAATAAGAAACAGTGAGAAGCAAATGAGCAAGGAGCTACTTCTAATTGGGAGGGGTAAAGGGATAGTCTTTCCAAAGAGGTGACATCTGAGTTAGGACACAAAAGGATAAGGAAGAGCCATGTATAAAGAAGAGTGTGCCAAGCACATAAAACAGTGTGCGAGAATGTTCAGAGGTCCTCATAAAGCTGATGTGGATGAAAGCTATCTTCCACCCAGCAGCCTTGGCAGGTGGAGCTGTCCAAGAAAAACACTGTAAAGAGAACTCAATTGAGAGTAATTGGGCAACTGTCTCCATGTGGTTTTGGGGTTAGGTGCTGAGAAAGGAAGAAAGATGGAAGCAAAGGGAAGCTCCAAATAGCCTGCTACAACTGAATGATTCTGAATATCTGGTGATAAATTTTCATATAATAATTAATGATGATGATGATGATGATAAAAATGCTAAAAAGATCAGGCTGTCGGGGGCAATGCTGCCCTTAGCAAAGATATATGGCCTTTCTCAGACTCAAATAAAGGACAAAGAATAGCACACCATCCTTCATTCTCTCTCTCCTGCTTGTAACATGCCTGAGAATCCCGGGGGTCAATCTCACTGCTTTCCTGCTTGATCCCAAGTCACTGCTGGGATTACAGGCATGATGATGCTCACAGGCTTCCCTGTCTCCAGAGATGCGTGCTTCAGTTGAACCTTTATGGCTAGTGGATGACACACCTGCTTCCCCCCACCACCACCCTAACTATGAACATCTTGAGAACAGGACCAGGTCTTAGCCATCTCTGTGCCCCCAGCATCTCCCCCGGGGCCTGGTGCATGGCAGATGTTCAGTAAGTATTGGCTGCAGGGAGAGAGGGAGGAGAAGGTGGAGAAATTGAGGAATGAATGAATAGATGGATAGAAAAATACATCAATCACCCGTCTCCAGTCAAGGACAGGCATTTAACAGCTGTTCAGAAAATAGCTGATTGATTTTGATAGACAAATGATAGGTCTTAATAAAATTCTCATTGTTGCAGGCCACCATTGAGCTAGATTTTGAATAACAGTTTCTGTAAGATATTTATTAAGAATACCCAAGACCCCAGACCACCTCCACTGTCATTTTTATCAAATCAAAGGACATTGTGCTATATAGTACAAAAAGCACGGAGCCTAGAACTCTGCCACTTATCTGGTTTGTGATATTGGGTATATTTCTTTAAGCCTCTGTGTCCTCTTATTAAAGAAGAGGAGAATGCATATGCCTACCCCAGATAATTGCAGTAGGAATAAAAGGAATACTGTTTTTGAAAGCATTTCGGGATGAATATATTGAGTACCTGTTATATGTTCATTTCTGAATGTTGGAGAGAAAGAAAAAAGATAGTCCCTTCCCTAGAGGACCCCACAGTCTAGCAATGGGTATGTGACGATTAATTTTATATGGCAATTTACCTGGACCGTAGCACCCAGAGATTTGGTCAAGCATTATTCTGAATATTCCTGCAATGGTGTCTGGGATAAGATTAACATTTAAATCAGGGGACTCTGAGTGAAGCAGACTGCCATGTGGGTGGGCTTCATCCACTCTGTTGAAGCCCTAAATAGAACAAAGACTGACTTCCCCTACATAAGAAGGAATTCTGCCAGCAGACAGCCTTTGGACTCAAACTGAAACTCTTCCCTAGGTCCCCAGCCTACCCCGTCCGATTTTAAGCTCACCAAGTCTCCACAATCAAGAGTCAATTTCTTTAAGTAAACCTTTCTGTATACACACGTCTTGTTTTTTCTGTTTCTCTGGAGAACCCTGATTAACACAGAGGACAATAAAATGGTAGTGAGTTGGATGCTCTAAGAACAGTCCTTAAGAATCTGGTGTCAGTCATTAGAGAAATGCAAATCAAAACCACATTGAGATACCATCTTATACTAGTTAGAATGGCAATCATTAAAAAATCAGAAGACAACAGATGCTGGAGAGGATGTGAAGAAATAGGAATACTTTTACACTGTTGGTGGGTGTGTAAATTAGTTCAGCCATTGTGAAAGGCAGTGCACCCAAAGGATTATAAATCCTTCTATAATAAAGACACATGGAGTAGCGGCGAACTGCCTCGGTAATGGCAGACCAGACTGCCTAGGTAGCAGTGGACGGCCTCAGTAGAGGTGGACCAGGCTGCCTCAGTAGCAGCGAACTGCCTCAGTAATGGCGGACCAGACTGCTGCGGTAGCAACGGACTG